CTAGGAACATCACCAAAGGCAAGGGAAGCAAGGGCAAAAATGAACTATTGGGATTTTATCAAGATCAAAAGCTTTTGCACAGCAAAGGAAACAGTTAACAAAACCAAAAGACAACTGACAGAATGGGAGAAGATATTTGCAAACGACATATCAGATAAAGGGCTAGTGTCCAGAATCTATAAAGAACTTAGCAAACTCAACACCCAAAGAACAAATAATCCAATCAAGAAATGGGCAGAAGACATGAACAGACATTTCTGCAAAGAAGACATCCAGATGGCCAACAGACACATGAAAAAGTGCTCCATATCACTCGGCATCAGGGAAATACAAATCAAAACCACAATGAGATACCACCTCACACCAGTCAGAATGGCTAAAATTAACAAGTCAGGAAATGACAGATGCTGGTGAGGATGCGGAGAAAGGGGAACCCTCCTACACTGTTGGTGGGAATGCAAGCTGGTGCAACCACTCTGGAAAACAGCATGGAGGTTCCTCAAAATGTTGAAAATAGAGCTACCCTATGACCCAGCAATTGCACTGCTGGGTATTTACCCTAAAGATACAAACGTAGTGATCCGAAGGGGCACGTGCACCCGAATGTTTATAGCAGCAATGTCTACAATAGCCAAACTATGGAAAGAACCTAGATGTCCATCAACAGACGAATGGATAAAGAAGATGTGGTATATATACACAATGGAATACTATGCAGCCATCAAAAGAAATGAAATCTTGCCATTTGCGACGACGTGGATGGAACTAGAGGGTATCATGCTTAGCGAAATAAGTCAATCGGAGAAAGACAACTATCATATGATCTCCCTGATATGAGGGAGAGGAGATGCAACATGGGGGTTAAGGGGGTAGGAGAAGAGTAAATGAAGCAAGATGGGATTGGGAGGGAGATAAACCATAAGTGACTCTTAATCTCACAAAACAAACTGAGGGTTGCTGGGGGGAGGGGGGTTGGGGGGGTGGAGTTATTATGGACATTGGGGAGGGTATGTGCTATGGTGAGTGCTGTGAAGTGTGTAAACCTGGCGATTCACAGACCTGTACCCCTGGGGAAAAAATATATTATATGTTTATAAAAATAAAATTTAAAATGATTTCTGCTACATTTCTTATAAAAGGTCTCAGTCTTGTAGTAAATTAAAGTAAACCTTATTTTAGAACTCAGCTATTTTAGTTCAAAACATATTAAATGAAGTGTGGATCACAGGAGTTCCACATCCAGCCAGCCAGGATGGGCTCTGAACTCACTCCCTTAACCTCTCCCCATAACCTTATCTGTGTGAGTAGTTGACAGCTCCAGCCAGAAGCCCCTGGATCACTCCAGATGGGGTGGGAGGTTAGACTGCTTTTGTGTTTGGAAGGACAGGCAGAGGAAGGCTGACAATTTGACCTTTCTAACAAAGTATTCCTTCTTCATTAGTAGTTTTCAGATCACTGCTTAGTAAAGTAAAAAAATCCGAGAACTGAAGAGGCTCAAGAAAATTGGCGGGGGGAGGGATGTGGCATAGTAATAACCAGAAAAACAAAGCCTCTTTACTACAAGCCTTTGTCCACACAATGAAATTGGGAAGAATAATTGACTGTATCTGTGAGTATCTTTTGTCTATGAGGCACCATTTCATTTTACATGATGGTGATGACTGTCAGTACTGAAACAATTGCTCATATTATACAATCCCAAAAAACTAAGAGGGAAAAAAGCCTTTTTTTTTTTTTGCCTTGAAATTACCAAAAAAATTTCCCCCTTTATGTAGTGCCTTTCATTCCTGTGACTTATCTGTTCCACAACTGGAATGCTGTATTTCCCACTACCCTTCACTCTTTTTGCCCAACACTGTCTGCCCCCTCCATAGGCAACCATCCTGTTTGTTCTATGTATTGATAGGTCTGATTTTGCTTTTCGTTTATTCTTTTTTTTTTTTTTTTAGGTTCCACATGTAAGTAAAATCATATGGTATTTATCTTTCTCAGACTTATTTCACTTAGCATTATACTCTGTAGGTCCATTCATGTTAGTGCAAATTGCACAATTTCATCCTTTTTTATGGTTGTGTAATATTCCTCTCTCTGTGTGTTGGGGGTGTGTGTGTGTGTGTGTGTGTGTGTGTGTGTATACACCACATCTTCCTTATCCATTCCTCTATTGATAGACATTTAGGTTGCTTCCATATCTTGGCTATTGTAAATAGTGCTGCAATAAACATAGAGGGGCATGTATCTTTTCAAGTTAGTATTTTTGCTTTTTTTTTTTTAAAAAGGTTTTATTTATTTATTTGACACAGAGAGAGAGAGATCACAAGTAGGCAGAGAGTCAGGCAATGGGGGCGGGGAGCAGGGTCCCGGCTGAGCAGAGAGCCCAACACAGGGCTCAATCCCAGGACCCTGAGATCATGAACCAAGCCAAAGGCAGAGGTTTAACCCACTGAGCCACCCAGGTGCCCCGTATTTTTGCTTTCTTTGGGTAAATACCCAGTAGAGGAATTATTGGATCATACGGTATCATATATATATTTATATATATGATATATATATATCATATGGTATATCCAATGAGAAGTTAATATGCAAGATACATAAAGAACGTCTACAAGTCAACACCTAAAAAAAAAAAAAAAAATCCCCAAATAATCCAATTTAAAATGGGGCAGGGGACCTCAGATATTATTCCAAAGAGGACATACAGATGGCCAAAAAACACATGAAAATATCATATATTTAATTTTTGAGGAACCTCCTTACTATCTTGCACAGTGGCTGTACCAGTTTACATTCCCACCAACAGTGCATGAGTGCATGAGGGTTCCTTTTTTTCCCACATATTCACCAACACTTGTTATTTCTTGTGTTGTTGATTCTGACAGGTGTGAGGTGATATCTCATTGGAGTCTTGATTTGCATTTCCCTGATGAGAGCTATGTTGAGGATATTTTCATGTGTTTTTTGGCCATCTGTATGTCCTCTTTGGAATAATATCTGAGGTCCCCTGCCCCATTTTAAATTGGATTATTTGGGGATTTTTTTTTTTTTTTTTTAGGTGTTGACTTGTAGACGTTCTTTATGTATCTTGCATATTAACTTCTCATTGGATATACCATTTGCAAATATCTTCTCCCATTCAGTAGGTTGCCTTTTTGTTTTATTGATGGTTTCTTTCACTGGCAAAAGGTTTTTATTTTGATATAGTCATAATAGTTTACTTCCAATTTTGTTTCCCTTGCTTTAGGAAACATACCTAGAAAAATGTTTCTACTATCAGTGTGGGAGAAATTACTGCCTTTGTTCTTTTCTAGGATTTTTATGGTTTAGGAGTCTCACATTTAGGTCTTTAATCCATTTTTAATTTATTTTTGTGTGTGGTGTAAGAAATATTTTATTATTTTTAAAAAATATTTTATTCCATTTATTTGACAGGGAAAGAGAGAGAGAGAGCACAAGAAGGGAGAGTGGCAGGCTGAGGGAGAGGGAGAAACAGACTCCTCGCTGAGCAGAGAGCCAAATGTGGGGCTCAATCCCAGGACCCTGGGATTATGACCTGAGCTGAAGGCAGATGCTCAACTAACTGAGCCACCCAGATGTCCCTGTGAGAAATATTCTTTAAGTTGATTTTGCATGTACAGACTGTTTAGAGAAGTGCCCTGAAGCAGTTGGCTAAAGGAAAGGAAACTTTTGAAACCATATTCACAAATTGATACATAAAGAAATTAATAGGACTTTCATTATAAAGTTAGAGAGCTGGCTCTGAACTTCAAATTTATTCTGAACTTTACATACTGGTAATGCTAGCCAGAAAAGGGAAGCAGTGTACAAAAGTTTGAATAGAATGTCACTTCTGTTTCTGCTGTTCAAGAAGTTAATTTCCTTTTCAACAAATGCAACATGTTGAGTTGCCTTGAAAACCATAGTAAGGCATATATTTTTTTCAATATTTCTGATCAGATAGGGATTAGATCAGCAATCAGCTCTAAGTAATTCAGGAATTATAATCATTAGATATAATATTTGGTAGCATGTCAGCTATGGCATAGGTATTATTGACCTAGAGGATGAAGAGTAATTCATTATGTTTACACACTGACTAATGAATAAAATGCAGTTTCTTGGAAAAATGGGTTATCACTTCATTGAAACATAAATAACTGGATTAGAAGAGAAAATAATTAAAAAATTGCATAAAAATCCAGGTTTGGGAAGTTTTTGAGATGCATACAAATCTCCGATATTTAAACCCAAATTCCTTAGTTTTGTGTATGTGTGTGTGAAAGAGAGCATGTGTTGAGAACTTTAATGCAGGATATTGAATGTCTTTTAAGAAATTTAAAACAGAAGTCTATCTTTTAACTGAACCTAAAGTACTATGTATTTTTTACTTTAAGTACTGAAAATAAGTATGTTAAATACCAAGAATCATTTATTATTGAAAATATAAAAGTATTTTTATTATCTCTTTCCCAAATAATAAATATATTGCAAACACGCACTTCTTGCCATTACTCTATTCAAATATTTAAGTTTAAGAAGAGAGAAATGGAAGGCAGGACTCTTAGTGCAAAAGTTCACTCTCCATCGAAGGAATAAGTTTTTCTTTTCACTCTGAGGGTCTTCACTGGAAGAGTAGGAAAACCACCTGTGAGATGCATTAGATGGCAGTCACTGTTTGTACAGATGGTATAACAGAATCATTTAGGTTTTACATTTCAAAAGAAAAGTAGTTTAGATTGAAGGAGCAACAATCCTTTGCAGAGCTTAAATCCTTCATATGCCCCTAGCTAATAATCGCTTGGTTTGCTAAAAAAAAGCTGTGCAAGATCAGAAAAAAGTGGGGGAAGGAAAGAAAGAACAGAGATAGAGAAGGGGGGAAAGAGAGGGAGGAGGAAGCAAAGGCAGGCGTGAGAGGGAGAGAGATTCACTTTAAATTGCCGTTGAAGAAATTATTCTAGTTATGAACTCACTACACTGAACAAAACGTCAACAGCACTTACCTCTCGACAGCCTGATTCGGTGTCAGAAGGGACATGGCCTGCTTTCTTACAAATGTAAGAAAGTGTTTCGTCACAATTTTTAACTTTCCAGTGTCCCTCCTAAGTGGAAAAATGTTACAACATGAATGAATACACTTCATTATTGATGCTGATAGATAACATCAGTTATTTTGAATAAAAATATGATTAATGATAAGTGTTTCAGGATGGGGTAATGAGTCAGGACTTTGTGTGGTCCTTAGAAGGGCCTCGTTCCCTCTCTCCATTGGAGTGGGAGGCCCTATGAACAATTCTAAGACACGCAATCCCAGATTGGCGGGCAGGAGAAGAGGGGCCACTAATGTTTCTTGATAGTGTGCTAGGCTTAATATTGGGTGATTGTCATATATAATCTCAATGTTACTATGAAATAGGCATTATTATTCCCATTTTAAAGGTTGGATTTAATATACGCATAAGGTCCTACAGTCAGTAAAATTTGGAACTAGGATTTAATACCAGGCTCAGCCTGGATTTACATTAAGCTGCTCTCAATTTTTCTTTTAAAAGGATGTGTTAGAGCTGCGATTCTCAATCTTTGCTGTGCACCAGGATTATTTGGAAGGGTTACGAAAGCACCAATGACTGGGCCTCATAATTAGTGTGTCTCATTTAATAGATCAGGTAGGACCTAAGAATTTGCATTTCTAACAAGGTTTCAACTGATGTCGATGCTGCTGGTCTGGGGACCACGCTTTGAGAATAACTTGGATGAAACTATCCCTGTGACCAAGTCAGAATGCTGCTGCTTCTCTTTAATCACTTCTAAGTGTAACACCAAATGCTTTGCTATTTAATGGATAAACCTGATGCTGGGGGACTACCTGGAAACTACCATGAATCACCCTAGATAACATTATAATAGCTGAACTTTGTGTTCAAGCCACAATGTCCTTCTTTATTACTAACTTTCCAAAGCCCCACTCCATTTCTTCTTTATATGACAGGCAGATACTTTCATGTCTTCTAGTTCTGCAGACGGCTGCTCTAACATCCTACATTAATAATGAAATACAATAACTGCTAACAGATTAAAATTTTATCCTCCCAAAGGATTTGTTATTTTAACACAAATCAGACCTTTAGGCTAAAAGCATACAATTCAAATTTTCAGTGGTATCTCAGGCAAGCAGGGTTTCAGGGGAATATGAATACTGTATAGGGGGTTGACTCCTTCATCTGTAAGAGCAGCTCTGGAGCGCCCCCCCTACCCAGTCTTCCAGCAAACCACCCAGTTAAAGGATAGTGTCAGGCATACTGCAGTTGCTTAATAACAATTGGAGGGATGGATGAATGAATAAATAGGTTCGTAGGCTCTCACATTCAAATTAGGCATCAACCATGCTTAGGTAACTTATTAATTATAGTAATTATACTCATATTGAGTTCTACGTCAAGGTAATAAATGTTACTTTTTATGCATCTACTATTTAAGGAGCTACTGAGCAACCAGAAAGGGGGACACAAAAATCACACTTATAGCAGCATCGTTCTGACACATTCTGTAATATTAATACCTGTCCTTACTCTCTAAAATATAATTTTTCTGTCCAAATGTTGGCTCCTGTTCTGTGAACATGCTAGGATAAATACCGGTGTCTGTCAAATGAAAAAGGAGACCATTGGTAGGAAATGAAGTTTATCTTAATTATCTCAAAACCAATGAACAAATAAAGCATCAAATATTGTAGAATAAACAGTGATGGCTTTCAGCAGTTTAGACCCTAGACAAACATTTAGAGAGATCATTGTCCCTCTTCAAATGTGACTTGAGAACAACCTTAGCATTTAAATTGTAACTGAGCATATCTGAGACAGCCTAAAAGATAATACAATGAAATGGGCCATAAGAATAAATGCTTAGAACTTTTCTGAGTTTGGTTGGCAGTTACTTTGTCAAGCTACTTAAGTAACATTTAATAAGCTGCACTTGGTAAAGTATCCTGATGGTAGGAAAGAGTAAGAATGCCTACCAAATCCTATTGACTTTAAAACTCAAATGGTGAGGTTAGTAGCTATCTGATCAAAGAGATTAAGTCTATTCTAAATATAATAAGTGCTTCACATGGCTTGGGATTAAACTAATTTTGTATAATCTAATCCGATGCTTTAGATAAATGAAAGACTACAGCATAGAGATAAATGTGATATTAAGCCCACTGGGACCGCTATATACATGTGAGGAAAAGAGCAAGATTTTCCACTGAGTCGGTTTTCAATGTGGTTACACACACTGTAGAAATCCTTTAATGTTAATAGGATAATGGAGCTTAAAAGCCATCAGTCCCTAGAGTAATTTCCTGACACCTCAGATTGTCTCCTCATATCTTCACCATAGAGGTCAATGGCACCATCATCCACAAACATGGCGGTTGCTCAAGCCAAACACCTACCCCACATCTAAGCTAGCAGCAATTCCTATCCTCCAAAGGATCTTTGAATTTCTCTGCTTGTCTCTAAATTCACTACCCCAGTTCAATACTGGAGTAGCCTCCAAACTGGTTTCTCTGCTTCCATTATTCCTCTCTCTTATCTCTCTCTATGTATCAGCCACAGTTACTTTTTAAAATGTAAATCAAACCATGCCCTTCATCTCCTTGAAGCCCTTTCTTCATTCTATAGCAGGCCTATAAGCCTCACATTTTTGGATTCCTCCTGCCCCCTCTCCTATGATCCCCTCATCAGTTCTACCTTCAAGCCACTCTGGTCTTCTTTTTGATTATTAAACATGAAAAGCTCTTATCCTGCCTTTGGGCTTTTATACCATCTGCCATCTGCTGTCTAGAATGTTCTTCCCCTGTTCCTCAGGAGGGTCCCCCCCGCCAAGTCCCAGCTGAAACATCACCTCCTAGAGAGCCTTTTCTGATTATCCTGTCTGAAGTAGCAGCCCCAACCCAAGTTTTTACCATTATGTCATCTATTTCCTCAAAGCTATCATCACAAATATAATTACCATGTTTTTCCTGTGTGAACACGTTTATTGCCTAGCATGGAAGCCCCAGGAAGAGCAGGGACTGTGTCTGTCTTCGTCTCTGCCACAGCCCAAGCCCCTGATGAACATGGTCCTCAAGTGAGCATTAAACAAACAAATCAACTTACAGATTGCTCTGCTGAGACACATTGCTGGCTTCTATTTGGAAAAATTTGGGGTTCAAGTGTGTGCCAATTAGTAAAGGTGACTGAGATGCCATTAGACCATTCAAAGGAAACTGGAATTTTATTGCTGCTCAAACCAATCCATGTTTCTGATGCATTTTCTGTAAGAGATAAATGTAAATTACAGGAATCCTGTTATATGCAAAGGAGATAACACACCGAGCCTGTTACAAATGATTTCATCTTTATTCGTTCATGCAATAAAACCTGTTTAAGTCTTGGTATACAATACCTACTTAGATCTTTTTCCCCTGTACTACCCCATCTCCTCGACACAGACGTTGGAAGTGGGACAGAGTGTGATCTAAAGCCAATGCAAGGACAAAGCTTAAAAGCAAGTCAGATTGCTGGGACTCTAATTAGTTTCTGCTACTATATGAAAAATAGATTTGAACAGTATGGTTTTGCCTCTGCCTAGAGAAAGGAAAAAGAGCAAGGTCAACTGCATTAGGAAAAGGGCACTTAAAGAAAAAAACAGCCCTTTACAATATATTTTTTCTTGCCTTTTTTTTTTTTTTTTTTTGCTATGAGAAAAAAGGAGCAGGAACTCTTAGAAGCATTAAAATGGGAGCAATGGGGTTGCTAGAAAAGTAAATAAAGTTTGACAGCCCAGGTAAGGTGAAAAGACCCTAGGAGGCTAAGAGAAATGTTCAAGTGCCCCTATTGAGACAGAGGCAGCCACAGGATTCTTTTAATCTCAAATGCAGGAGGTGAGAAAAAGTGACAGAGAAGGATTTTTGTTTTCACTCTAAACTAAAACCTAACTTTCAAAAGGTCACCAGAGTAGACTCTGGAGATTTTTTTTCATTAAAAAAAAATTTACTCTAGCTCCAGTGATTTCAATGTTTTTTCAGCAGAATCCTATGGCATATATATGACATAGGTGGGGGGAATGGCTCTGATGGGCAAAAGGCGGGTGGAGGCCTAGGAGCTCAGAATTCCTGAACGTGGCACAGAGCTTGAAAACCACCATACCGAATAAATTTTCACTGGTCAAAGTTATTAAAATCCAATTATTTATCTCAGAAATTCCATTATTGCTTAGATCACATGACCACAGCACACTACTGCTATGTAGTGACCATAAGGCTAAATTACAGGTTTAAGTTCTTTTATTAAAAGTTTCTGGAAATGATCTTTGCCCCTTAAAAAAAAAAAACCTTCTAATATATCTGGCATATGTGAGGTGTTACAAAATTTCTGAGCATATATTTTGTAAAAATCCAATGAATTTGCACTCCTGGATATTAATTAGAAATTTGAGATATATATGCCATAAGTAATCACTTTTAAATAACTTGATTTCTTTTCAACTCCACTAATAAATATCGTGACAACATTATATTTCATACCTCTTAAATCAGAGACATTTGGCACTTACCATCTCCAAGGAGGGTTACAAAAAACTCCACATCTGCTAATGAAGCAATGTTTATCAATGTGCTGTTATCAGAGTGGCAAGAATGCAAAGCTTCCTTCCAGGTCTTTTTTTCTTTCTGAAGTTTATAGCAGTTATGACTGTGGGGATTCCAGCCAGGCTCACAGTGTGTAGCATAATATTTCCAGGCATTTTTTTCTTTTTAAACCAACAAAACATAACGTCATTTTCCACAATTTTTAAGATGTTTACTTATTAGACTTAATATAACTTGTCATCAACATATGATTACTTTAAAAATTTGAAAAACAGAGACATATGAAACAATAACATATAAGCTATCTAGATCTTCAGAGTCGAGAAGGATTCAAGATATGATCTAGATCTAGATCTAGATCTAATGGATCTCAGTGCTTCATTTTACAGATGAGCTAAGGCACAGAGGTAAGGAGATTTGGAAAAGGTTACACAAGCCAAGTGAAGAGTTAGGGCTAGATGTAAAATTTAGCAGTTAGAGCTCTGCATTTATTTTTTGTTTATTTATTTTTAAAGGCACTTTTTTTTTTTAAAGATTTTATCTATTTATTTGACAGAGAGAGAGAGATCTCAAGTAGTCAGAGAGGCAGGCAGAGAGAGAGGAGGAAGAAGGCTCCCTGCTGAGCAGGGAGCCAGATGCGGGGCTCAATCTCAGGACCTGGAGATCATGACCTGAGCCAAAGGCAGAGGCTTAACCCACTGAGTCACCCAGGCGCCCCTAGAGTTCTGCATTTAAAAAAATCTTTTAACACTGGAAAAGGAGTATTATGAAAAGCAGTTTAAAGTACATTCCCAAGATTTTATGTACAATATGTGGGTGGGGGCAGATATTTATCCTCAGCTGAGAAAAAGCTTGAAAATCTCTGGAGGTTACTTCCTCCAGAGCAGAGATGACAAATAGCTTTCACCTTTAGGTTAGTCTAAGTGTCTGTGTTTTCCCTCTGGGTTCTTGTGGACACTGGGTTAGACTTACAGGAAAATAGTGCCATGATGCTTTGGCACGGGAAGGGGAGGCAGTGGTGTACATGTCAAATTTTGGCTCTCCCTTTCCAGGATCTTGTCCTCAACCTGGTGATTAGCATTTTTACTTTATTTTATTAACCACAGCTGAGTGCCTCCCTCAAGCATTAATTTAGTTAGACATAACTTCAGGGCTATTTGGGAAATGAGACATTGTTTTAAAATTGCTCTGGGATGCTGACAGCAATTAGAATCACAGTCTAAGAATGTTAGAACATTTAGGTGTCATCTACTCCAGTAGGTTTTAACCCTAAGTAATATAGTCATGGAGCCCCTTTTAAAAATGGAACTTTTAAACTTCACTCTATGGGTAAGATAAAAAGTGAAAGAGGAGCTTCTCTGACTAAAGCAGGGGTAGAGACAATCAAAGAACCTAGAGATCGTGAAAACATAGTTTATCAAAAGAACCTGTTAAACCTGGAGGAACAGAAAATAATCCAAACTAACAGCTTCATTACCCTCATTTGTGGTCTTTGGATCTCAATGAGTAGATCCAGAGTAAATAAAACAGAAAAAAAAAAAAAAAAGGATGGCAGGAAGGCATAAGAAAGAAACAGTGAAGAAGGAAGAAATGGACAAGAGAAGAAGGAAGCGATGGAAAGGAAGAGCGATAGCAATTTCAGCATGTTTTTGACATAATGAAAAAAACTCCGCATAAAAAAATGGCACAATACTTCTTCTTTCCCCTACACTCCCTTATTCTACCACACCCTTGGGCTTAGCCACTTAAAGGAAAATGATAGTTAAAGTCTGATTGTAAGGAATAATATTTAAAAAGAATAATTCAGCTCATTATTTGAAATCTGGAGTTGTTTCTAATTATTCTGCTAATGATTCTTTTAAATATGGTTATATTTTTATTTCTACATTCTGAGTGAAGACATTAATTCCCACAGAAACTAAAAAAGAGCCAATAGACCTTAAAAACAAATAATTGGGCTTCAGGTATTAGATTGTAATTAGGTGGTATTTACGTCTTTGTTGCATATAAAAGTTTGTATGTCAGTTCAAGGAGGAGGGTAATAAGAGATTCAGAGTGTACTAAGGGATCAATGAAGTAAAAGAATTTTATAAAACCATGTTCTAATTTATATTTAATTCCAAGGTACCCATAAATAAAACTCAAAGCTAGAATAGAAAAGAAAGCATATCTTGTTTATCTCACGCAGAACAACTAAGAATGGAACGTTTTTTGTTTTTTTTTTTTTAAAGATTTTATTTATTTATTTGACAGACAGAGAACACAAGTAGGCAGAGAAGCAGGCAGAGAGAGAGAGAAGGAAGCAGGCTCCCTGCTGAGCAGAGAGCCCGATGTGGGGCTCAATCCCAGGACCCTGGGATCATGACCTGAGCCGAAGGCAGAGGCTTTAACCCACTGAGCCACCCAGGCACCCCAGAATGGAAAGTTTTTTTTAAAAAAAGAAGCAGACAATGTTTTCAATGTCTAGGTTATTTTGTTTTTGTTTAGTAAAAAATTTAGGAAAACTAAAAAATGTATTTTTTAAATTCATGGTGCCTTTGGAATAATAGATATTATCTATTTGCCTATATTTATTTATATAAATAAAAAAACTAGTCTTAAATTATGAATTATTAGCAAAAATGTAAAGGAATTTTAATATATTCAGAGGACAGATAAGCAACTCATAAAAACAACTTTAAGTAAAAACACTTACCAATCCCTTCTTGATCAGTGTGGTTTAGATATTTTTTACATATATAAGGCAAGGTGGAGTCACAATCCCGACTCCTCCAGGCATTTGGCATAAATGAATTAAATGTTCCACATTGATGTTCAACAAATGGCTCAAAATTTATTTCTGAAAATACAGTGTATGTTTAATGTCAGAGGCAAAATCAGTTAGTTTAATATATATCGGTGTCATCTTATTTATTCAAATATGATATATTCAATATATAGTTTTTAACATCAAGGAGATAGCCTTTCTCTTTGGCATGTATGGCAAATCCTGTAAGATGTTATATTATATGATTTTGAGGTTGAAGTCCGTACATAACAATGAAATGATTTCCCAAAGATAGCAAGAGCTGATTTTATTGTTTTAAAGAAATATTTGGCAACTTGTTGCTATTTGTAAAACAGCTGACAGGAGTCTTGGCTCTAACCCAATCCTCCTGCAACCTTGGCTAAATAGCTTACCTTCTTGACCTCCATTTTCTTGTCTGGAAAAGCTTGCCTTCCGGGAGTTCAGGCAAGCTTAAAAATGTTTATAAACCACTTTTGAAATAACATGACTTATAGATACGTGGGAAATAGCTGCTGTGTAAGGGTGTGGGATATTGCCACCCGCCGAAGGCACAAGAAACAAAGCAGGTACCTGGGTTCCAGTTCAGGTAGTTGAGTGGTGTTCTATCAGACCACTGCCAGCCAGCGTTTTCATCCAGCTGATTCAGACCTATCCACATTTCCACGGCTTCACTGCCCAAGTGCTCTGAAATGAAGAGAAATACCAAGTTTCAACACATGCAAACAACCTCCTCCCCACCATGTTACACTTCTTTCTCATTTTACTATTCCTGAAGGACGCAGTCATAAGTGAACTCCAGTCCATAACAAAGGGTTCCAAGTGCTCCTAAACCCCACTTAGAAGCTTCAGCGTAACAAAGTCAGCCTCTGCCATCTTGAGAAACACAGCGGTTTCCTAAAGGCTCACCAACAGCAATTCTTTGGCTGTGAAGGCCTTAATCGAAGCATCTGGAAGTGCTGCCTCTCAATGATCCTCAATCCCCCAAGACTACATGGTTGTGAATTTGATTGAGACCATCTGATTTGTGTGAGCTCCTGCACTTAAGAGTTTTAGATGGGGGAGGAAGACATGTACAGGAAAGCCACTCCAGCCTTAGCTTGAAGGCCCAGGACTCCAGCTTGCTGAGGCCACCATAGGCTCCAAGCAAGGGTGGAACAGGAAGAAGTAATGTTAAATCTGAGTAATAGGTGTATGTGTGTGCACGTAAAATTTTCTGCACTTTTCAATATTTTTGAAGTATTTCACAGTTAAAAAATTGAACAATGTAAAGAAGCTTTTCTTTAGGGACCTGGCAAGGAAGAGAAAAGCAGGTAAGTATTGTTGGTGAATGGAGGCAAGTCCTCAAACTTAAGAAAGTATGCTAAAGCAAGCAGGGAGGGGTCTTGTCTGAATTCTAAAAAATGATTCTAGCATAAAAGAAAACAAAACAACAAAAAAGTCAGCCCAAAACGTAGAAAGCCAACCAGGGAGAAGTATGTAATGTAAATTCAGGGATGCCTATTTTTCTGATTGGATAAAAAATATTTTACAGTTGTCTATGATGCTTTTTAAGTATTTAAAATAATTAGAGAGTTTTATTAACATGAGGGTAAAATGCAACCTACTAAATTAAAATGCTAATAGTGTTTCTGGATTTGGGGAATATGGCTCCCCAAAGAGAGAATGGATTCACCAAAACTGATCATATATAATGCCAAAAAGAAAGCCACAATAATTTCAAAAGAATCTACATGGTGTATATTATGGCCTACAATTATATTTCAATTATTTTGCTTTTAAAAAAATTAAAGCACTGCCTTTAAAATCCACCCCCCCAAATTATTATAGAACGAATTTTGGAAAACAGTGTCAGAAAAGTAGTTAAAAGGACTAGTTTCATGACACTTTCAAATGTTGCCATTTAATCTTTTAATCTATAAAAGGGAGAATTTTTCTCTTCCTTTCATGGTTCATCTGCTTCAGAACCCAATATATTTTGAGTTGGATGCAGGGGCCCTGCCTGAGACTCAGGCCCTGATAGTTGACTTATGAATAGGGCCCAAAACTATTCCAATTTGCCAGGAAAACTTACAGTTTAGCTGGTAGTTTCAGAATAATTACAACTCACAGCCTCTTTTACTCTCAGAAGACTCTCAGTTTGGATCATAATTTATATGATCACCCAGATTATAAAGATCATTGTATTCACATAACAAACCTAAGCATCCTCTGTGATTGAGCCTTTCAGTTCAATGGTGGAAAACTGAAAGAATCCACTCCACTTAGGAAAGAGAAAAAGGGGCTTTATAATTTTGAGACCTCAGAAATCCCTGAACAGAAACAGCGGATCATTCACAGGTCCCACCCTTCCAAAAACTCCTATGGCATTTACACAAGAGTCTCTTTCTGATGTTGATTTGATTAGTCCCTTCAGTAACACTATCTGATTAAATCATACAATGGGTATCATGATGACAAGAGGTGGCAGGGAAGATGGAGTGACAAGATAGAGAAATGTCCGCATTTCGTATCAGTGTCAAGCGATATTTTCAAATAACCTAATGAAAATACTTAAATAGCAATTATTCTTATCGTAGAGTTATTTTGAATGGCCTCTGTGCAGTTGTTTTGACAATACACATATCACTTAACAATACATATAAAAATCACTGGGTAATTTATAAATTGTGTTTAAGGTTACAAAACCAGCTTTTCACTTTTTTTATTTTTTAATTTAATTTTATTTTTTCAGTGTTCCAAGATTCATTGTTTATGTACCACACCCAGCGCTCCATGCAATATGCAAAAACAGCTATTTAGCTTTTCACCTAAATTGGCTCACAATTTTGTAGTAATAAACTCAAACCTAAATTCTTTTGGATATTTCTTGGCATTTGTGACAGCTTAGATAATTCCTTATATCATAGTTAATTAACGTTCACCAGAGATTAGCAAGAAACTAGACTGATCATCATTAAAAAATACCTTGGTCAGAACAGGGTTCCCTCTTTATGAATAGACTTCTGTTTCCCTCAGCAATACCTGAAATCTAATTATAGAATTGTGGTATTTAAATCAAAGTCTCTGACATATCTTATTTCTTTCATCGTTATTCAAGTTTGATGAGTAAGTCCAAACCTTCTTATTAGAAATCCTGACAGTCAAGATAGATAACAATGATAATTCATACATGCTATGAAAAATTTTCTGTAAAAACCATTACAGGCTAATAATGATATTGGAAATTGGTGTTTTCCTAAAGTATGACTCACTCAAATCAGTTTTGACCATAATTTCCTACTTTTGCATGTCTGTGGGGAAAGGGGTAAACTTGTGCTGTTCAAGCATTTGTTATACTTCTTCTGCAAAGTATTAATGACTTCCAAAACTTTAAAACATGCTTCCTCTTTCACCCAGTGAATCTACTTCCACAAACTTATAGAGAAATAATCGGGGATCTAGGCTCAAAGGTAAGTGCAGGGATGATTTATGATAGCAACAAATAAACAAAAATAAAATAAATAATTTTATCTATCACTATCTAATAGTAGGAGGCTAGATACATATATTATTCCTAACCTATAATACTATGTAATCACTAAAGATTATGATGCTTGTCTCTATTCTTAGACATAGACAGGTGCTTATTATATGCTGGTACATGAAATAAGCATATTATCAAACTGCGTGTGTAGTTGTTAAATGGTTAACACAAAATGAGTGTTTTTTATGTGTGCCAGGCACTTTGCTAAGACTTTGCCTGCATCATAACATGTAATCCACACTGCCAACAAGTAGCACTGTTATTATTTCCATTTGATGGGGGCGGAATTTGATGCACAGACAGATGGTTCTGTGGTCCCTGCTCCTATCATTCATGCATTTATTCAAAACTGTTGTTCATACATACTATATATGTATGCATGCCTTTATATATTTTTTCAGAAAAACATGGTTCTGTTTGGATTGTGGAATTATGGAATATTTTTCTTTCTATACACTTGAAATTTAAAAATTATTCTAGAATAAATATGTACTACACGTGCAATAAAATTTGAAAAAAACGTCAGAAACTTTTGATAAGAGTTACTCATTTTTGTGATACTTTCAAATGTTTCTAAAAATTTTTGGAAAGCTGTGTGTACATACCTACAAACACATTTAATCTATAAAGGAGAAGTAAGAGGGGAGTTTAGGTGATGGGTAAAACCCAAGACCCAACCCCTTGGCACAACTCTTTTGACATATTATTGTCATATCCTGTTAGTTAACATGTGTGTGCTTTTGCTTTTCCAACCAAATTTTAATTTCTTCGTCATCCGTGAGAAGGCCTATGTATCTGTGCATATTCACTGACAGGTGAGATTTTGTTTCATTAATAAATGACTTAGTTATTTATTAATGGAAGCTAAATAGCTAAGATCTCCCCAGAGCAGAAATTTGTATTTAAGTTTGGAAGTCTCCCAGATCCACCTGCTAGAGCTGCAAATTGTCCTGGGTTCCTTGCTGGGGCCTCAACTTCTCTCCTCCCATGGAGAGAAAATAAGGAAGATTTGTCTGGGTGCCAATGGAATGGCCCAGGGGACAGGTCACAATTCTAGGTGTGAGTTGGCACCATACTAATAAAAGAAAACATTATCTAAGGGATTTTTTTTCAGGATGTATTTTTGCATACCTGGACATAACTATTAACAGTCATTTTAATTGCATTAATATCAGGGTACATCATCTACCTACTTACTCTTTATGAAATTTTCTTCATTCTCATCTGCAATACTTAGTAAAGCTCCTCCTTGCATCTGGCATGAAGAATGTGCCTCACTCCAGGAAAGAGAGGAAAGCAGGTTGAATTGGTAGCAAATGTGTGAATTGAACTCCTTCTCCCAGACGGCATCACAACCCACCTCTGCGGATGCTGAAAACAAAGCCCATTAAAACATTAACTATAATCTTACTTTATCTATACAACAATGCATTTCTAAGATGAATTTGTATGGAATGATTCCAACTTCAACCTCTAAAACTTCAGTGCCTTATTGATTCTTGATTAGGTCTTTATGATGAAATATACATTGTTATCCCACTGGCATTTTATGGTTCAACTCTTTCAAGATTTAAAGGGAATTCAAGAAGTTATCAAAAAAGAAGGTCCCATCCTTTCTGGGAAATAAGAAAAGTCATTTTTAAAAGAAGGAAAAGAAAAGAAGTATTTGTGAAAATAGCATCTGCGTTCTCTAAAAAGCAGTCGTTTAGAACTTTATACTGAAAGCTGTGTGAATTTAAATGTTTATTTGAGACACATGCAAATGTTGTTTCAAAAAGCCTTCCCCCCCCCACCCCGCCAAATACCAAAATGCTAGGAGGAATAAAAGGGATATAAGTGAAATATGAGTTTATAATGAACACAAGTGTTTAAATAAACATTGAGAACAGAAACACTGATATTCAGTTAAAGATAAAGTTCTTTCAACCAAAAGGAAGAGAAGCAAAATGTACTTGTAAAACATTGCATAGTATGCTTAAAAGTTAATTGAATGAAGTGGGAAACATCGATCTGAAATTTGAAGTTTACTGAAATAACAGAAAATAAAGACCTAGTTTGGGTGATTTTGGTAAAATTTTATTATTGTTATTTTTTTAATGTTGATATTAGTTTATCTGATACAACATCTATACTTCGACTTGCCACTTTTCCCAATAATCTCCTTTAAAGAAAGTTTTTAGTTGAGGATCCAATCCAGGAAAATGCATTTCATTTACTTGCATGTCTTCTTCTTCTTCTTTTATTTTTTATTATTAACATATAATGTATTATTTGCTTCAGGGGTACAGGTCTGTGAATCTTCAGTCTTACACAATTCACAGCACTCACCATAGCATACACTCTCCCCAGTGACCATAACCCAGTCACCTATCCCTCCCTCCCACCCCCAGCAACCCTCAGTTTGTTTCCTGAGATAAAGAGTCTCTCATGGTTTGTCTTCCTCCCTGATCCCATCTTGTTTCATTTTTTCCCTCCCTACCCCCTACAGCCCCCGCCCTGCCTCTCAAATTCCTCATATCAGGGAGATCATATGATAATTGTCTTTCTCTGATTGACTTATTTTGCTTAGCATAAAAGATTTTGGTAAAATTTTAAATCAAATCCCAAGGTGAAATAAACAACCTAAGTAATTACCTGAAATCAAACTCAGCCAAAAAACTGCAGAATGTAGAAAATGTAAAACATGCTACATCTTGAGTGTAACTGATGGACAGGCAATTTGCTAAAATCTAGAATGGTATTTCCCAAAGTGTAATCTACAGAGTAAGACAACTTCATGAACTCTTCAAGAGGAGCTGGGACATAATGCGTAAATAACATCCCCTGGTAAATTCAAAATGTACAATAGCATAGTAAAGGCTCTGAGAAGGTCTGTAGTAAAGAAACAGCTCTATTTTTATTTGGTTATACTTCAAACTTATTTGACAATAAAATCTTTTTTGTTTTTTTCCCCCCTTAATACTTAGATATTTCCCTTGGGAACATAGAAAGTCTGTTTTCATGTCTGATCACAACCTGCTTTCCCCAGAACTAAGTTAGTTAACCAGAAGTTATTAAACCACATATAAATCTAAAGTTGTCTATATAGTTTTCTGACTGATACATGTATTTATAAAAGGATCCAAGATTGAAGGAGGGCAGAAGACAAAGCTATCACCAAGTAAAACTGAAAAAAAGGAAAATAAAGGGGGAAGGAATATTTCAATAATCATCTTGCCTTGGTGTCTGAAATTTTCCCACTGAGAATGAGTCCTTAGAGATTGTCTTTCAGTTAAAATGCTTGGCTTCCCTGAGACGGACATCACAGTGAGTGTTGACAGACATCAGCTCAGCCCTGTTCATCTGGCAAGACAGTTGAGGCCATAAGAAAGGGGCAGGGAGTGTTTATAATTTCAGTGTGCCTAAAAATCATTTAGTCATCTTGTGAAGAAAATGCAGATTTCTTGTTCTTAGTCCCAGAGATTCTGAGTTAGTAAGTCTGGGGTAGGACTCAGGAACCTGCATTTTAAACATATTCTTGATTCTAATGTGGTTTTCTTTACTTGTGATTCTATAGCTTTCTTTACTTGTGATGATTTTGTTTGGTTTCAGTATAAAGGTAATATTGACCTCATAGAATGAATTGGAAAATGTTCCCTCCTCTTCTTTTTTTTAATTTTATTTTTTATAAACATATATTTTTTTCCCCAGGGGTACAGGTCTGTGAATCGCCAGGTTTACACACTTCACCGCACTCACCATAGCACATACCCTCCCCAATGTCCATAATAACCCCACCCCCTCTTTTTTTTTTTTTTTTTTTTTTAAATTTACTCTTTAACCCACTCAATCTGGCAACTAGAGTATACTTGGTAAGGCCATCAGTGATCTCCATGTTGCCAAGTCCAGCAAACACTTAAGTTTCAGATCTTGTTAAATCAAGCCTTTCAGCAGCATTTGGCAAGTTGAGCTCCCTGGGTTGGCTGATGTACTCTCTTTTCTTGCCTTTACATGCCTGGCTACCCTTCTACCAATTTGGCTGCCTATTCTCAGTCTCATTTGCTGGTTCATTTTTCTCTGCTTAAACTAAATATTGAGGTTTTAAGACTTGGTTCTGAGTCCCCTTTCTTTCTATTCTACACAAATTCTAGACTATCTAACCCATTCCTCTAAGTCCCTTTACTACAACTCTCAGGTATATAGAGACCTCTATGTCTAAACTGCCTAGTCTACATCTCACATGATTGACTGATATATAACATGTCCCAGTCTGAATGTTTGATTGTTTCTTCCAAATCTGTATCTCCATTAACTCTGCTATGCATATCAGAAAACTGGGGTCTTAATTAACACTTAATTTTCAAGTCTGTCCTTACCAGTGAGAAATCCAACTCCTGGTTAAAAATCTGTATGTGAGGGGCGCCTGGGTGGCTCAGTGGGTTAAAGCCTCTGCCTTCGGCTCAGGTCATGATCCCAGAGTCCTGGGATCTAGCCCCGCATCCGCATCCGGGCTCTCTGCTCAGCAGGGAACCTGCTTCCCCCTCTCTGCCTGTTGCTCTACCTACTTATGATCTCTGTCTGTCAAATAAATAAATAAAAATCTTAAAAAAAAATCTGTATGTGATTTTTCAGGCCTCATCACAGCCAATTACAAAGAATTTATCTGGTAGACCTCATGGGGGAAGTCTCCCTTCCCATATCAGACGTGGTTCATAGACAGTGCACTAAAGTCTCTGGAGGGAGTTTCAGTCAAAGATTCAGAGCCCCTTGGCCCATCGTGCTCTTCACATTCCTAGCTCTGGCTCCTTCATTTCTAAGCCTCTTTTTCTGAGGCCTTGGGATGACATCCTCTTTGGTTACCTCTACTGAGGTTGGGAGGTGTCAGAGGGGGAAACCTGAAGACACTTTTAACTACTCTGACTCAGTACCCAGTCCTTTTCCACTCCCAGCTTTTCCCCTTCAACTCACCCTTGGCCCCAGAGTCCACAAAACTGAAGAGGCTTTTGTTGAGGGCTCTCTCAATAGTCTGTGCTGATCCTTCTGACTCTTGACCAGTGTGCCATTTCATAAGGAAAAATGGAGCAAGAGAAGTTGGTGTTTCCTCCCATTTTGGGCTCTTGCTTATATCCCACAGTAAGTGATAAAAGGCTTCACTCTTTCATTTTTGGCTTGTTGCTTTAATCAGCTACTCAGACACCTGACATCTCAGCTCCTTCTCTCCAGCTCAGCTGTGTTCCTGAGAACCACATCCTGTTCAGTCTATCTCCAGATTAGATCTTCAGTACATCTATTTTCCAACCCACTTTCTGCTACCTAACCCAAGTCACCACTGTCCTTGAGTCTATTTCTGTGGCCTTATAACTGGTCTCTAGGATTTCCTTCTTGCTCTCCTCCAACCCATTTGCCATAAAGAATTCAGAATGATCCTTAAAAAATATTTAAATCATTATCATATCACTGCTTAAGATCCTGTTATAGCTTCCATTTATAGTCAGAATTAGGTAAATCTTTACCTTTAGAGCACCTTGAGTTATCATGCCTTTGGTTGAATTGGCCTCTGCCAACCTTTCCTAAACATCTTGCTCCTCTTTCTCTTACTGTGCTCTTGCCACATTGTCTTTCTTAGTAACCTCTTTCCCTCCTCAAAGTCTTCAGATAATTGGCTAGTGGCACACTGGGGGCAAAGGTAGGAAAGCAGTCACCCTTGGACAGGTGAGAGTATTTTAACATGCATGTTGTATAGAACTGTCGGAGCATGTGCATGGTGAGTCAAAAGCAGATTGACCTGTAGGTGGTTTTATTATTATTTTTTAGTTCTATTCAAATAATATATTTCCTATATTGCCTATAAACCTAGTGCTGACCATTTCCATTGACCATGCACCTCTAGGTGGATATCTCATCCTCTCACTTTCCATCTTGATAACTGTTATTCATCTCTTGGACTAGAGATTTAAATACAACATACTCAGAAAAACCTTCCTTGACTTACAAATTTAAATTAGATTTCTTACTGATAACACCATTTTTGTTTTTTTTTTTTAAAGTGGCACTTATCAAACATTATATATTAATTTGGATATTTTACTTGAGTGTGAACTTCATTAGGACAGGCACTATGGCTTTCATTTTTCATGTTCATGGTTACAATCCCAGCACAAACTTGGCACATAGTAGGTGTTCAATACAGATTTGTGAGAATGAATAAATGAATGGTTTGTGAAAATGGAGATCAGGCATGCATTGTCATAGAAGTCAAGGAGAGACAGTGGAGTGAGGAATGAAAGCAAGGTGAAGAAGTATAGATAATTCTTTTGAGAAGTCTATCTATGGTGGGGGAGGAGAGTAGAAGACATGGCTGTTTTCAGGAGACAGAAGTGGCTATGAAGGTG